TTCTAAGGAAGGTCTTCACGCTGTCTGAGGAAGAGCTAGTACAAACCTAAGCTACTGCATTTCCTGCTTTTGTTTTTACATGGTTATAGGAGTTGCATAGCTACACACACACACACACACCCCACATAAATATATAGAGAGAGCGCTTGAATTTACTGGATCTAGCACTAATCTTTTTTTGGGTCAAATCATCTTAACTCTCCCTCACCCTTGTGCGATACCTTCCATCTCAAAGGTAACAAATTCCTTCAGCTGTGTATTTGAAGCTGGGACTACCAAATGAGTATTCTGCTTGCTCACTTGAGATCAATCACATCTTTTGAAGTCCCTCAGGCTACCTGCCAGGGCACACCACAGATGAGAAGTGAATTCTGTCTTTGATAGGTACCTTTGTACTTATTATTCCTCAAGCTTTTTTTCCTCTCAATTTAAGTTCACTTGTAAAGGCCTTTTTGCCTCCTACTTCCCTACATTCAGCACTACGTTCACCTTAGCGTTAAGTATTTTGTAATACAGTGTTAATTTTCCCCAGTTAATCTACTCCTCTCGTGACACTTGCACACAATCATAAAACCTGGGAATATTCACAGAAAGCAGAATTAGAAAGGAACTTCGGAGACCATCTAAATTAAACCAGGCACCCTACCTCAATGATTGTGATACTGGTGACTTGTATGTCGGACCAAAACAAGTACAAGAAAAGCAATCGATGTTCTACATCAAACTCTGCTACTAAGAAGCTGAGAAACAGCAAACCTAGACCACCTTCTGCTGCAAAAGAGCATTCACAACAGCCATGCCTGCTCTTAGCGAGGCCTCACCAGTAGGCATCCCATAACCATTTCTGACAGGCTAACAAAATGGCTCTCCTGAGGAGAGCCATCAACAACCTCTCCACATCACTTCCACTTTTTATTTTATCCAAAGATAACTCTTTCAGAGTGATTTCTTTTTCCAGGCAAAGTGGCAGGGAAGAAATTAGTTCACTTACGAACCTCCAAATTTGTTAACGTACCAAGTTATTTTGCTTACCAAAGGCACAGCAGCCATACAATCTCAGTAACTCTTTGAAGACTAACACTAGCACTCATTACAGGAATGACCAGACCCAGAGAAACCAGCAGCTCGCTCTGCTGCACGGGAATGCCACCCATGGACATTTTGAAAGAGGGAACAAGAGTTCCCCAAAGAGTCTGTCTAGCAAAGCACCTCTCAACACCCCACTAGAGCAAAGCTGTTTTCTGTTTGGAAGCACAAAGACTTATTCAAACCAGCTATTACTTTTTTTTATTTTTTAACACAGAAACCAAAGGAAATAACAGTGCAGTAGAATTAAAACCCTGATATATACACTTTAATTTATAAGAATTCTGTACCACAACTCTTAATATTGAATTCATAGAAACTGTTCAAAATACAAACTCCTCCAGAAACATGAGTTTCATGAATATTGCAATATTCACTCACAGAGAACAGAAACATAGGAAATCCATGGTAGCAAGTTGAGTTTCCAACATGGCTACTTAACACAAAGGATAAAAATAAAAAACACAAAACACCCACAAGCAAGCAACCCAACACCACCACCCCAACCCAAAACCTTCCTAATAATGTATATGCAGAAATATCTTCTATAATTTTATAGGAAAGGTCACTTATACAAGGTATTACGCTTAGAATAGAGGTGCATAATTTTTAAGATAAGTGAATTACTAAATCAAACACACCAAAACCACCAAAGGTTTTAGCAGCAAACAATGTAGTGGAATTTAGATATTTATAAGTTATAAAAGGATGAGGTCTTGGAAACTGAAAGGGTATCTGCTTCAACAGATCTACCTTTAGTGTATGTTCCACACCAGCTTAAAACCAGCCTGATTACTTAACTTACACAATTCAGTTATAATTATCTTTCACAATATTATAAAGTGATTTAAAATATAACACTATATTAAGCCTCTGTATGTGTTAATATTTAGATTTTGCATTTAATCACATTGGAGCCTACCACTTTCCAGAAAAACATCTTTATGTTGGCTATAAGAGCAGACAGAATGATGGTTTTGTCATTAAGCATCAAACATTTGGCAGTGCATCAATAATTCTCTTTAATTTGCCTTACCCTCAGAAGCTGGTGTGAGCTGTTGGGCCCTGCAGTGTGCTTCAATAATAGTGCATTAAATGGAAAGTATCTATGCCTGGCTGACCATTCTGAAAGCTGTTTTTGAGTGGCCTGAAATAAGCTATTTAGATTCCCTACAGAGTCTTGGCTTCAAAAAGAAACAGATGATTTGTAATGCAAATAATCCACCATCTCTAGAACAGCACCCTAATAGTGAACTATGAGTGGTATGAAATCTGCAGGCATAACAAACCCCCAAATATTGGCATAAACCTTCTAGTGTTGCTAAAATATGCAAACACATACCAAAATATAAAGGTAAAACAAGGGGACAAAAAAAAAAAATCATAATCTTGACTCCAACATTTAGTAAACTACTACAGCAGGCCCAAGCTGGATAATACAGTAACATTCACCCTCCCACTAAAAAGCTGCTATTACATACATGAAAATCAAAGTTAAAATACTTAAAACTTTAGGACATATCCAATAACTATGTGCCATGAAATGTACCACAGCTTACAACCCCATCAAATAAACACTAGAAACCAGGAATGACATATACAGCTTTGCTATTTTAATTCAGAATGGCAATGAAAATTGGGGAAAAAGACTCGGTCTGTCCTTATATGATCATATTTTTTACATTTTCTGCAGCAAAAGTCATGCTCATCTACGTCTTAAATTAAGGACAAAGAGTAAATACAGAGAACTCATGGTAGTCCAGTAATAAAAAGACCAAAACTCTTGGCTGCATCATACTACTTAGCCCACTACTCCTACTCCCATGGGCAGGAAGACAATTTCTCCTCCTCCATCCAGGCCTTAGCTCTCCGCAACAAGCTCTGATGAGCTCAATTCAGTGAGCAGATGAGGAGAAGATTAAGCAACAAGCTTCTATAGCATTTCAAACACTAGGAAAAAAATAAAGTTTTCTTAGGCGCATAACTGCTAAAGAAGAAACCATCTCATGGTTTAACATTGTGCATCCAGCAGCCCGAAGACTCTCAGAGTTATCCAAGCAACTAAAGTTGCAGCAAACAAAATAAGGACTTCAGTTGTTAATGTAAACTTTAACAATAAAACTCAACAACACAGGCTGATTTTACTACAGTCTTTTGTGAGAACTTTATAGAAAATTTCTTTGTCAGTATCTTGACTCAACAAAAAGATGAGCCAAACAGACTGTTAAACATTGAGATAAGACTTACTTATTAAGGACAACCATAAAAATAAGTCAAGTGAAAGTGTGAATGTCCTTAATTCCCCCCTTACCTCAACTGATTCAAGTTAATTTGAGAAACTATCACTGATGAAAATGATAAAATATATACAAAATTATATGCAAAAGTATGTGGAGTGACCATTTTAATAAGCTGATACAAAACCAATCAGAATGTTTGCTACAACTGCATTTATCTTCTACAATTGCAAAGATCAGGGACAGTCTATTTATGTAGATCCTGCATTAGAACTCTGAACAAAGAAAGACAAAAAAACTCAATCAGAAAACTTCAGCAAAGACTGCATATCAGGCTTTGCCTTCAGTATACTCCTCCAAAGGATTTCATTGCCTTACTTGAAAATTGACTTTTAGGGATGGCAAATTTGAATACTTAATGCTATGCTTTTAGTTAAGATCTCCCAAGCACACACCATATAGATGGATGACTGGAAGTGTGACCAAGTGTGAAAAAGAAGTTGAAAATGTAGTATTTGAGATCTGCGAAGGTATTCCCAGTGCAAAAAAAAAAAAAAAGCCCCCAAAACAGAAACAAACACAAAATCCCAAACCAAAACACCCCCCCCCAAAAAAAACCCCACCAAACCCCCAAAACCTTAGCTTTTTTTAGCTTTTTTTTTTTTTTTCCCCCCCAAAAAACCCTTAGGTTTTTTTAACAAAGCACTAAAACAGAACTATTAGGACAATGATAAGTCCCAGGGATAGGCTGCAGACACAAACTAGTAAGTCTGTACAGTGATTCCTCAAATTTCCAATGCTCATTCTTTTTAGAAACTAACAGTTTTGTAAAGCCCAATTATTAAAATCAGTATTGGTTAGAACTGAAATTCTGCTGGGATTTGAAGCCACTTAAAACTGGTACTACTCTTTGGGAATCGGAAGCCACTGTGAAGAAACAATGTCTGCAAGTGCTGTTCTTTCAGAAGCGTAAAACAGAAAAGGTGATCTTACACTATAAAAAGCACCATAATAAAAATCTCAGTACTATCTATTTGTCTTTCAATGTGTAGCAGATGTTCCTTACATTTTACTTATTATAGCACTAAAAAGCAAATTTTGGGATTAATACCAGCGTAAACCGAGTAAGTTTTGGCATATCTTTTTCACATATTTCTGGGTGGGGGGAGAACCCAAATAGGCAACCATTTGTTGGCCTGTGTACAAACAGCAAAACAGAAAAGCTCTGATCCCCTCCTGGCTGTGCAAAAGTCAACTTAAGAGTCCACTACGACTCCTAGCTGGAGGGAGACCTGAGCAGAACATCTATGCTATCAATCGAGAATTACCCCTCCCTTTTCTTGGCTGTGAAGACCTGCACCATTTGTAGCCCTAGTGCTTCTCTGACCCCTCCAACAAGCCAATTCAATTTATAATCCCAGCTCTTTTTTCCCCATTAAATGAGACAGGCTGAACGGACATAAATGCATGTTTATGGATGCAATGAGAAAGCAACAGTGCAGATTGCTCCCACAAATCTGGAAGAACAGGTTCACTGATGTATACAAACAACTCTGGGCTAAATGATGGGGCAGGTCCAACTACACTTTACATTGGTGTCTAGTATATTCTTCAATACAATGAGTAACTTACTGGCACGATAGCACAAAAAAACCCCATAAATTGGGATTTACTTACAATGCTGATCACAGTCTACTCTAGCAAACACCACTTGATTCTTATCTGGATATTCTTCCTTAATTACGTTAGAAGCTTCCTCAAAAATAGGATGCAGCATTTGGCTGAAGCGGCACCTGTGGATAGAACACAATCACAGCTTCAAAATACTAATTTGAAATATTTTAATTGATGACTCAGAGAATATTTCCATCTTTGAAGGAAAAAGAAAAAAAAAAAAAAAAGATACGCTACTGGAAAAGAACATCTACTTTTAATTATCCCAGTAATTAACTGGATAAAAATAGGTTCAAAAGTAACTTGAATAGTGCAGGTGCGGAAAAAAAAAAATCATTCTAAGGGAATATATAGTTCAAGATGTGCCCCCCTGCTTTATCTGCTTAAGAAATGCCATTAATCAATTATAAACCTTTAGGAAATATATTCTATTCAGAAAGTCTGTTCTTTACTTTTTCTACCGGAATTATCCCTGGGGAAGTAATTCTAAAAATATAGTAAAAGAAGTTACTTGGATTGTTGAGATTCAAATATTTACCAACAATCACCTTCAAGAAATATCACAGACATAACTTTCTAGGGGTCAACAATAGAAGTTATGAATATTGCTTAATACATCATTGCTCAAATTTGGTAGAATTTGAACAGACTGCTGTTACAGCACTATGAACAAAGAGAATCCCATGGGTTCCTTCTTCCAGCCATGCTGGATTTTGAATCAAATCCTCTCTTTCTGCCCATGGAAAAGGCTGTAGGACTGTAAAGATGCTTTGGTAGCTTTGGGGAGTTTAGGGTAACATTAGGACACAAGACCATACTAATATAGCAATAAAATTATTTTATATTCTGTTCTTCTAAACACATGGCAGAATTTTAAATTTAAGACATATAACGGCACTGTAGAAGTTGTCAGAATGAGACTTCATTGAACAGACTTGCAATAAAACAGCCTGCACTGAAGCCCTGCTTATACTTAACAGTGATAGCCTGGGGATTCTGTTACGACAACAGCAAACATTCAGGTGAAGAGGCAGGTTTTGCTCTCAAAATACAAACAGGACTTAAGGCCGTTTTCTGAAAGGAGCCTGACTCTGGGCAGCACAACTGTATGCTACACACTTACGTAGCATGTATATGTTACGTATGGCTTCCTTGTCCCTCATTTTTCTACACCCTTACAGCAGAGTATCTACATCAGCAAAACTGATCTGTTCTCATTCAAAGGTCACGTTACATCATAGGCTGGCAGTACACAATGTTGAGGGGTTATTACTGAATGCCTACGCGTAATGATCATAATTTTAAAACATTACAGCCTTAATTATGGCCTACTACAATATGAATCAACTTGCAAGCATACGCAAATCTTCAAATTCAAAGCAAATGTATTCTAGAGAGGATTTGATAACAGCGGGCATTTGCAGAAAGAGCTGTGCTAACAGGGTCCTAAAACAGGACACTTGTTACCTTGCTACATCAAGTTTTAAAATATTGGTATCTGCCCACTATCACAGAAGTATCAGAACATGGATTTTTAGCTGCCTGAAGTTTGCCTTTTGCAAAATCCAAAAATGAATTTTTCAATGTCAACACAGACCCAAATTTCAGTGTATTAAATCAGCTCTCCATAGGTTTGCTTTCTTTGGTTATCTTTAATAAAATCTATTGAAGTAGTCCATGATCCACGAGGTATCTGCAGATCACAAACTGAAAATAACCACCTCAAAACTTTCATTTACTTACTTATCTTAAAAGGCAGCCTTTATAACACAATTCTATACAGAACAGGTAAGAGATTAGACCTAGTTTCTTACTTAACTAGTTGCTTAGTTGTACTACCATTATAAAGAAAGACATTTCAAACAAATAGCTTACTTGGTAAACAAATACAATCTCCCTAAAGAAAAAATTCTACTGGTTTAAATGTGCCTAGTATCAATTTAGTCTGTGGTAGCAAATGAACAGATGCAAACTAATTGAACATAAAAATTGCCTATAAAATGACAGAGGTATATACAAAGGTTATTAAACTGATTTAGATTGGTATAATGTCTATCTTTACGTAAAGTTTAAATGAAGGCATTAAAAACATCTTTATTGAGAACTTCATACTATAATGAAAAGACTGGGTATGAATTTTTCAAAATCACTTTTAAAAAAAAAATTAAAATTAGCCTGCTACTACTTGAATGCATTATCAGTGACGGCAAAGTGGAAGTTTTTCATGAAAAGCTCTGTGCACTTGCTATTTCTAGGCCATACAGACCTACAGACTTAGACATAGAGTGGAATATGAAAGAGGTGAAAGGAATCAGAAGTCTAATCACCTACACCACCTTTGATTCTGAAGGCCAATGTTGCATGCTCACAAAGCAAAACAGCAGGGAGAGGAATGTTTAAAGTGTTATACTTTGGTTTATACATTGCTTTACATTATAAAGCTGTTTACAATTAATTCTAATTATGATTTTATATGCAAGTGGTTTTAAAAAAAAAAAAAAAAAAAAAGAATTTCAAGTAAACAATTCCCTCTAAGTATGTTTTCACAATGTCTAACCAATCTGGCCCCAAACTCTTTCCTTTTCTACTTGTGCAGACTTCATCCCTCAATTATAATTTTTCTGGTTCTGCACTTAGAAGGTCTTCCAGATTAGAAAGGGATTTTTAGCAGAATTTCAAGCCTTTTTCTTTCTAGCATGCACGCATGGGACCAACACAGAAGAAAAAGGAGAAATGGAATATTTTGGACTATCTTATGTTAAGGAGCAAAAACTTAGTGAAATTTGTCTTGCTAAGAAGTGGGGAAAAAGAATTATTACATGGCATGTTATTCCATACTGCTGTAGAAACCTTTTCTCCTCTGATAGGAGCCCTGAACAAAAGAAAAGATGGCAGAACAGCAGGAGGGGAAGTAACAAGGACATTAAAAAAAAAAAACCAAAACAGGAAAGAAAGAGTTTGAAAGCAACATACCGCTGTATTTTCAGTTGGAAAACTATAGCCAAATATGACAGTTTTCAGAAGACAGAAGTTTAAACATAGAAAACCCCCCTTGTTTCACTTACCAATCAGCATAAAAATTAACTAAAGCAACATCTGCATTGTCTGAAAGAAAAAAAAAAAAACACAACAGCGTCACATTGTGAGGCGAAATTCTTTATGCTTTTATCTGAGACTATAAAAATATGCACAAAAACTATAAAAGCAAATATTTCTAGATTATTAAACATATGGCTTAGTCTGATTGCTAGAAAACTGCTAGGATAAATTTTATCTGAAATATAATCTATAATCAAATGGGAAAGTGATGAAAGAGGCCTTCAGTCAAGTAGTTTATTGACTTTATTGGTACATTAGACATTAAAAATGTCAATACTTAAGGTATTAAGACACAAAATAAGCAAGTAAGTGACACAAAACAAAAAGTAATTCTGGATTTAAAATTAAGGCACTCAAAGCCAGAAGTTGTACTCTAGTATATCTTTTAAGCATTATATAGATTATTCATAACTGTTAAAAAAGTTAAAAGCTGAAATGTCAACTATTTGGATAACCTAAGGAGCTGGATACTAAGGCAAAAGGTGGCAGAGAAATCTTCAGTGCCCAAAAAAGAAAATGCTAAGGGGCACTCAAAAAAAAAAAACAACCCAAAAAGGAACATTATAGGGATATATATGATGAGGCAGTGAAATAATGCTTCTACATGTTATTTTTCACATATCAAAAAAAAAAAAAAAAACCCAACAAAAAACCCCAGCAAAACTAGAAGGACAAATCTCCTGCCCAAAAAGGAATTGTGATCTCTACAAAATATAACCACCATGCTGTAAATTGATTTTTATTAGCAGTAGTGGCCTAGACATTGAAAAAAACTTGAAATAAATACTGGAACTATAGAATATCAGCCATAGCTTTATAAAGCAGAAATGTTGCTAGACAAATTTGCACTATTGACAAAGTCACAAGTGAAGATGAAGATGGTGGAAGCCTGGAAAAGACAACATGCTGGAGAAGATGACTCTCAAGAAGGCTAGAAAAAAACTACAGTTTTGATTAAAATTATGGTGTTAAGATTTTCATTATCAGCAAGGAATGCAAGTGGTGAACAGGAAATTAACAAGCACAGAGAAATTCAGGGTTACCTCCAAGGCATAAAGTACTTACTGAAGGTACTAGGATAACTTTAAAAAGAACTTACACTTGGCATATATTGCCCTTTATGAAACATTTTACAAAAGGATTCAATATTTTCCACTCTATAAAAGGTATTTACAAACAGATCTTATATCATCTAATCATAAATTTACTACACAAAGCACACATTTACTGCACTGCAATAGTAGGCAGACTCTAGTACAGACCTAAAGAAAAGAATATAAAGATTCTTTTTCTGAATATATTTCAAACAATGTAATAACTTCTTTCCTGTGAAGACAACCAGATACAGGCAAATTGCATAGGTTTCAGTCAAAAAGGTTTCAGACAAGGAATACACATCTGTTAATTTATAAGTCTCTTTTCTGTGAACCACCAGAATCAGGACAATACTTAACCTGAGGAAAAACATAGCTGAAAAAGCAAGCTACTTAAGGCCCATCACCATGGGTTTCAGCTGCTGCTATTTTTGGGGAAACTTTTAAAATGCCTTCTTGACAGCTTTTGGTTAGGTAATTAAGCATTCCCATCGGCAAACAAGATACCAGCTCTTCTTCTTAGGCACTTCAAATCCTCACTGAGATTACAATGAAGTAATTTGTTAGGCGTTGCATTAGTTCAGACTGCTAATTTTGATCACCAGCATTTAATACTTTATGCCAACTGCAATTCATATTTTCAAAGCTAAGGTATGCATACTCATTTAATAACATTGCAAGATTCATACAGGTAAGTGATTGTAGACATACAAACTAAAAAAGAATTCAAAGTACTCACTTAAAATGTCATCTATATTTCCGCTATCTAGACTTGTTATTTCACTTCTTGTTGGATTAAAAAGCCAAGACACCTAAAAAGAGAAAGCAAACCAGTAAGGTATGTAAAGTTTCAGCAATAAAGTAGTAACATATCTATGATTTTAAATGTTGCAGTTCAAAAGCTAGAAAAGAACAGCAAAATAATTGTTACTCAGTCAAACCCTTTCAGATGACAGCAATACTACAAATATACAAATAAATGTTATTTACGGATATAACACACTTTCACAGTTAAAGCAAAATGGACTGTCTCTTCATATGATCCTCTATTATCATATGATTCTCTATTATGTTGGCAGAAATGTTTCAAGTAATTTTTGTACCTTTAAGAATAACTTCTATTCATAAATTCATTCTGAAGAAAGAAATAAACCCCTCATTTCAGCCACATAACAACCTCACACAGCCCAGAAGCGTGTAGGCACAGTGGTTTCACCCACAGACAAGTATTCCTTCTGTCACTTACCAGGCTTGCCTGGCTAAAAAGTTTCTCATCAGGTGAAGCTTGCAATTGCCTCCATTTTTATTGCTGTTTTAGAAAACAGTTTCAGTGTATCTAACTCAACAAGCTACTGTCTTTTATCTCCTTCTGTATTTTTTTCTTGACGCTGCTTCAGTCCCAGCACACGACTGGCATATCAAGACTATAAAAACTGAGACACGACGTCAGCCAGATTGTCCAATTACAAAGCAACACACGTGTTACTTTTAATGCAACTATCACAGTTTTATGGAAGAGCACTCTCATATTTGCTGTGACAGGCCCAGTTCTTGTATCTCAAAATGTGGCGGGGAAAAAGACAGTAGAGTTGCTGGTCTATCCCAGGTGAGAGAGATATCAGCGAGTTACAACTTATTTTTGCTTTGAGAGATAAATGTGCAAGTTGTTGAGCAGGATAATACAGATTCTGGTCTGGGACGTGAATGTTTCCATCCTGAGTGACCTGGTCAGAAAGTCAGCACTTCTCTAAGCAGGGCCAGGGCTCAGACCAGATGCTCTACTGAGATGCCTTCCAGCCTCATTTTCCATGATTCTATGGTTCCATTCGTGGTTTCCATGATTCAGCTGACAGAGATGGCAGGAAAGGAAAAGGAAGGTTTTCGGCAGAGAATTGACAGGAACGCACACATTAAGGAGCCAGGTAGAGACTGAAGATTCCCAATGATACCTGAAGTCCTTGCACTGAGATGCGGTGGGAAGTGACATACGCACTGTCAACATTCCCAGAGCTTTAGTTTACTCTTGCAGCTGCAAAGAAAATCTGCCTGTGGCTAGGAAGGCAGGGCCAGCGGCTGCTTTTACGAAGGAAAAATTTAGCTGGAAGCATAAAGAGCATCCAATTAATGCCACATAGAGCAGCTAGGCACAAGGATCCAGTGATACAAGGATCTCTGTATTTATGGAAGATGCTGAGACCTATGCAGGACCTATATTAGAACCATGATCACAAGCTGCAAGCCCCTTAGAGCATGGTCATCATTGACACTGGTTACAGTTTATCAAAAGTTTAATTCAATGTCAAACACCAAGTTTTCTAATATTTTTGCAAGTGTATACCAAATATCGGCCTCTCAAGAACATTAGCCACACCAGATGCCCGCTTTCATTACGATGAGCTTCAAAAAACGTGGGAAACTTCTGCAGCAAGACATTGTTATAGCTCGCAAACTATCACTGTAAATGCCACGTAGGTGAGATTTGCAGCAATCATTTTCAATTCCTTCTGACTTATGGATCACTAAATACCTTTCAGTGAAGACACTGATCCTTTCATATTTCCCATATAGAGGCTGCTGGGTAGCGTATACACCCCATCTTACACTACAGGCTGAAAACATACCAGCTGTTGTAATAAAAAATACATACCAGTGTTTCTCACTTGGTAATTGGACAAGATACTTATCTTGTACGCAGGTGTAAGATCTGTGGCAGAGTTTGCACAGCCTTCCTGTGGCACTTAAACTGCCTGGCACAGATGTCTGAACTGTGGCTTTAAGATGCCTGCGTAGAAACAAAACTAACAGTAGAGCTGTAAGGTCCATAATCAAAACTGACAGCGTAACGACATAGTCTGCCAAAAAATATGTGATTAAGCAAGCTATGCAATGCACAAGTTGCGGCAGGCCAGTATTGGGGAAGTTCCTTTGAAGGAGCTGGCGTTGCTGACTGCTGAGCAGCAAGAAGGGATGATCCTGCCTTCAGTCTTTGCAGAGAGAAGCTACATATGTGGACCCTGCTGCATATCGGTCAGATTACCCCCAGACGAGTGACAGCTGACAGCAAACATCAGTGCAGATACCTCCCCATCACCCCCTGGGTGGTGCATGGGATGACAACTTCCATGGTGTTGCTGTGGGGAGTACTGGTAGTAGTAGTTACATTTGTAGTAACGGGTCAGTTAAGTGTGTGAATGACCTGGCATGGCTTTTGTTTGTATGCACATGCTGCTTTGTTGCAAACGTTAGGCTATACCTAACTTGTATACAGCTGAAGCAGTAGCAATGATTAATAGTTGGAATATTGCTCCAGGCAATAAAGGACAGGGTAACTCAACATTCATTTTGTTGGCCATCATCCAATCTTACTACAGGTGACTTTGCAAACCCATCTAAGTTCCAAGGCTTCAGCTGCCCTGCAAGGTCTCAGGAACCTCTGATTGTGCCCTTGAAGGCCACAGAGTTACTTATCCTGCTTAGAATCTTGGACAATGCTTGTTTACACAGAAAAGCCACACAAGCCTCTAGAAAGCAGGAGCTTTTTAGCTGCTGCTCACAGCTCTGCATCAGCATTCACACTCAGAAAGAATTTCTGCAGTAGGTCTTGGTGAAACTATTTTCACAGGAGCTCAGCAGTTTGTATTGTCTCAACGTCCGAGCAGGTAAGATACCAATTTCTTTAAACCGACTTGGCTTTTTCTAATACAATTTTACAGCAGCAACACAAATTTTATCTAACAGGATTAATTACACATAAATTAAACATAACATAGATAAGCACATATTTGCCATCGGGAAACAGGCTACGTTATTCAGCAGATATGCTTAAATAGATCAGGAGCTGTAGTTGCATTTGTAGATTGCTACAATACACCTTAACCTGCAATGCAAATATTTAACTGCAAAATCAAAGCACAGGGCTCGCTAACAAATAATATCCTCTACTAGACTGTGCTATGTGCAGAAAAAGCAAATTAAAACTAATACTACTTTATAGCATGAATAAAATTTTTGATTGCTTTCTTAACTCTTATTGTGGAAAAATGTGGTGCAAGCTGCATGTACTGAAACAAAAACCCCAAATCTCTTCAAATATTGAAGGTTCAAATGAAATTAAGCTGTATATCCTATTGCCCCTTTATACTAAACACTAGTGGAAAAAAACTGAGACTAAGAAAGTCTTTCCCCAAAAGCTGCACAAACCCTGAGATAATCGAAATACTTTTTCCACTAGAAGTATGAAAAATTCTATTCTGTCAAAATATATTCATGAACACGTTCTTAAACATTTTATGCTGACTAAATAATTGTGGGTGCCAAAACCTTCATAATAAGTAGATAGGCTCAGGGGAAAAAAAAAAGCATTCCTTTAGGAAATGTCAATAAATATGCAAGACTCACTTCAGCTGAAGCTTTCATAAAGGTATAATGCCTGTAAGGGAGAAAAAACATCCTTTTGACCCAGTAATCTTGCTGTCCCATGAGGTGCAAGAGGGTTTATGATATTACTAGTATTAATATTCAACATGAAGGAATACAAATTCATATTTAAATTGCTAAGAAGCTACACTTCTTAGTTTTGAGAATTTTTTCTGACCTTTGATGAGGCCTGTGCTTGATGCCCACGGGCGGAAAACAAGACATTTTTGTGGAAATAATTTTTGAATGTCAGCTGCACACTTTATAAAACAGATATTGAACATATGTTCTGAAAAACATACTGGCTAAAAAAAAAAGTCTTCAAAATTTTTTACTTTTAAATGCAACCTTTGCATTCCACTGGCCTACATCAGAAGGACACATGGATGACTGTTCACATTTATGACAAGATAGCTACAAACTCACTGAAGAAAGCACCTTGCAAAAATAATTCAAAAGGAAAATTATGTAAGTACACCTAAAAACAACCCAGGTCACTGCCTTTATATTGGATAAAATTAGCTGTATTTTTATATTTGTTTTTTTTAATGCTTAAACTACTAAAATCTGAAGGTCAAGCCAAGTAGATACGAAAAAGATTTCCAAAAAATAAAGATACAGTAGAATACTAGTATTCTAAATACTTGAGTGTGAAACTGCACAAGTTAGATAAGCGTGTTTATAATCTACTCAATTGTTTAACACTACAGAAAAATGACAAAAGAAACTATAGACTAAACCAACTGAATGCAGAAAGCTTGTATACACTTACAGAACGCATTGCTGAGGGGAAAAAAAGTCAGGAATTGAACAATACATTCACAAAGATAAATTTTATCTCATATGGGGGGAGGGAAAAGGAGGAGATGGCACATGTATTTTTACTCTTCTGGTCCTCAGAAACACTGTCAAATAAAGCAGGAATATATCAGCTCGGGTTCCTGGAAGTTTCTGAGAATAACACTGCTCATGTTTTTACTGGGAAGTGTAATTAGTACAGAAATCCTAGTATTTCTGATCCAGTTTTGATCCTCACCTAAAGTTAGCAGATGACTTAGCCAATTCTGCCAGAAGCCAGTACTAGTCACTTCTGAGGAATAGCTACAAATTAGCTGACATTTATTTTGATTTTTTTCTAATGGAAGATATCAAAGCACTGCCCGAAAGACAACATTATCCTCCTCTGCCACATGGCACAAGGCTATGCAAGCAGCCTTACACAAAACAAAATGCCTGGACAAAACCCATTCCGTTCACCCCCCAAAAGCAAACCTCTCCAGGCTTCACATCCCTTTTCCAAAGAGCAGATAAAAGCAGACCCAATTTCAACTCATCTTCTGCTGACAGTGTTGCTGTTCAATAGCCACTTCACATGTTAAAGCAGCCCACTGGTTAT